AGGATCGAGTTTAAAACGTTTGAAAGGTTTGGAGAGAGAAGAAGACATCGTATGGTAGTGACTCTATTATCTATGACATGTGGTTGCACGTTTAAAGACACGCCCAATCTTCTTCTTCTTGTAATCACGTGATTGTGTGTTGCTCATTGCTCAATTCAATATGGAAGAGGTAGGGTATGTTTTTTGCACATTATTACAAACTCTTCTAATTTTGTATAATGCAGACTAATACAGAGCCCCCTTATTTTTGCAATAAAGACAGTCAACCAGAAAGAGGTAAAATAGAATCATTGAAAATTGCCAAAATTTGATTTTAAAAGCAATGTAACTGCTACTGTTAGTTAATAGGAACAGTGGTGGAGGGATTGGAGCAGCTGGAGATTATTCTCATAATGAGGAGATTACAAGAATTGAAGAAATAGGGCGAATGTTAAAAAGCACACAGCAAAGACTAAATGAAGCCAGCAGTAAGCTGAATTGATGTAAAATGATATCTTTTCTCTTTTTTCTGAAGTGAAAGCTCACCTTTTAAATGTTGACGTGGTTACATTATTTGATCCTATAAAATCGGATCAGATGCGTACAAGAGTTGAAGAATGTCGTCAATGTGTGGAGAGAATGAAAGAGAAGGATAGGCAGGTAGAGGAACAGTTTTTAAGCAAAGAAGATATCAAAGAATGACATAACTACTGCCTATATATGCATATAGCATCACTGTATAATCATTATTGTATTATAATAGATCACTTATCCATTCAAGTTAAAATATTAATCTTTTCAAGATATTACTATTAATGATATTAGTGATAATGATAGCATAATGATAATAATAATAATGATGATGATGATGATATGTTACACAAGTTAAGAAGTTTAACTGGTTTTAAAGTGAGTCACAGGTGTGGAAGTAAAAAAAGAAAGAGAGGGAATACATCAACAATATATTATAATATAAATATTAAAAGAGACAGTAATTGTTTAAACTGATCGTACAATAAGGTACAATATTACGCTTCAACAGTTGTCTTAGTCTCCAGAGTTTCCTCGCCATTTAAATCTTCATTTGAATCCTCGCCCACATCGTGTACTTCAACCTGGCATAATATTGCAGTACTTTTGTCATCTGGTACTTTAGCATCGTCGGTCTTATGCTCTGTAGCTGGTGTAGCTTTCGAATACATTTTAGAATAAAGTTCAAGTGATTTTTGTCTAGTTTGAAACCTCTCGTACCACCCCACCCCCTGGGGGGCACCTTTAATATTACCAGCCCCAGCGTCATCATTGCTACTTGACGTTGATAATCTTTCGTCCATTTCTGACGACATCCCCCTTGCATTTTCACTTATACGCCACAATTCGTGCATTAAACTTTTGTGGCGCTCTTTAATTGGAATAATCTTAGTAAGCACAATACGAGAACCCTCTGTGGGTGGAGTGGGCGGAGACTCTGATCCAGTAGAACCCGGAGGCGTGAGACTAAAGGTGTCAAAAGGTGGCGAAACAGACGACAAATCGGGCAAACTCTTTGATCTTGTAAGTACAGAGGGTTGAGTGTCACTGATAGGAGTGATTGACGGAGAATAGAAACCTCTGAATTGAGGAGAGGAAGAGGAGGAGGAGGAATAAGAACTGAGAAAATCTCTTCCTTTTCGTCTGGTGCTTCGTCTTGGGCGATTTTCTCCAAGATTAGTTTCTACTGACACATCTTGGATAAGGTTGTTTTTTGTCTTCAACAGCCGCCTTTGTCTAAGAGTGTACACCAAGAGTGCACAAGTGATGGTACAGACTGATGCCAGTATAACTGCAGTTATCAAAATGAGCGTGAAGGCATACAGCGGTAGTGTTGAATTGGTTCCTGTTATAGGAGTGTCAGTACCAGTAACAGCAGTCGGGGTTGGTGGATCTTCAATATGCAACTGAGGAAGACTTGCTATTGTTTCAAATTCCCGGTACTTGATCCCATGGGCATGTGAACGGACACTGCTGTTTGTCAGAATGAAACTGTTGGGGTCAATGCGCTGTAGAAATGAAAAAAATATTATCAGTATGTTATCAGTATTATTATACCCTTACCATTCCATCTAATACAAAGCACACTGTCACATGAGATGGGCCCTTTCTCTCTCTCAAAGCATCCTACAATAGCATAATTACACTGTTCACATAAAGCCCATCAAATACTACTTACCAATAAAACTCTCTCTTGCTCATTGTGCTTAAGAATCACTTCATCAACCAGTAATTCAAATTGAGGCCTCATTATAGAGGAGTGATGAAGATACACTGAGAGTTTCAGTACATTTTTCCCTATTAAAACACACATACAAATAATGAGTAATTGACATTATCAACTCGTACCTGATATATTGTGCATATTGGCCTCTCTTTCACTAAGCATTATTGCATTAGACTCCAGTTCTGAAGACAACATAAGTTGATTGTTAACTGTTGTCAATGGTATTTCAAATGTGAAGCTCTCGCAGTTACTAAAGCGTCCAATTGAAGCATCATGGTCATTATTTTGGCATATTTTAACATCAAATGAAATGTTGTTTCTAAGACTTGTCTCAATAATCCAGCCATTAATAATGTTTCCATTACTTTCTTCATAGCTTAATGGCAACAGAGCATTAGGACTACCTTCCACAATAATTCTAATAACCAGCCTCTGGAGTGAAATATGAGAATAATTGGTATATCCAAAGAGACGAATCTTGTTTAAAGGTTGTAAATCAACGGAATGAGGTGAGAAAGAGATTTTTTGGTAGTTGGACTTTTCTACCGGTCGGTAATTGAATGGAAAAGAAGACACTGCTGACTCAATAGCAGGTAGCAGTTTACTATGCAGTGTCATATTGTGCTTCGAATTGTTAATGATGATTGGAGCTCCATTCCTGATCTTTAATTCGGTCACGTAAAGAGGCATCGAAAGACTCAAGTTTCCTTCTTCGTCATTAGAAAAAGAAACAGGGCATGCATTTTTGATTGATTTAAATTGCAGCCATTTTCTAAAGACCCACACTCCCTTTATCAAGTATTTATCAAGTCCCTGTGACTCTCCAGAGAGTAAACTAGTCCTTTTAGAGCTAGGAATGAGGTTGGAGCAAGAGTGGCCGTTACGAGCAGAAGGACGAGTTAGGATATAAAGTAGAGGAGAAAGGATTGGTTTCGATGTTATGAGTGGAATTGAGTTTGGTAGAGCAGGCATTGTAACCACTAATTCTACAAAATCCTTTTAAAAAATTAAAAAATATATATACATTAATATAAATAGTGCAAATAGATTACTTTTTCATTTCCTTGAAATGACGCATAAGTTTCAAATTTGACTTCAATTTTTGACTGATTTCGCTGATATTTGTAAAATGGTTTATTTCCAATTAAGACAGGGTTGCTAGTTCTAGAGTAACCTTTAACTCCACTCACATCAACAGCTTTTGTGACACACTTGATCCAAACGTTACGACTAAAGTAGACTGGAGAGAGAGTATGAGATGCAGTAGTCGTCAAAAAAGTATCTCTCTTGATTTGGAAGAATGCTTCTCCATTTTCTGATATCCACCATTCATAAATTGTTTTGTGAGCATCAATACCTTGCTGGTCACATTCATCATGCCATTGATCACAAGCCTACACAATAAGTTAAATAAATAAATAATTTTTATTTGTGAAGCATAGCAAAGTTGACATAATATTTTGACAGAAGTAACTTAAAAATGTTACTGGTAATTAAAAGTTTCCATGCAACAAAAGTACATGCATCAGAAAAGTGATAAAATCAAAAATTCTCTCTTGTACTATATAGTATAGGGACTTTGGCCTGATTTTTGAGTGACATTAAAAATTTGTAAAAAATCCAAATTGAATTGGAATCAGCTCAAACTTGCTACACAACATAAGAACATGTATATGCATCGGAAAATGTAATAAAAATTGAGAATTCTCTCCTAGTCATTTTTGGTGAAATTTGACCAACGACCCTGTACAAGGATTTTGGCCCAATTTTTGAGTAACTTTAAAAATTTGTAAAAAATCCAAATTTAATCGGAATCAACTCAAACTTGCTACACAACATAAGAACATGTATATGCATCAAAAAATGTAATAAAAATTGAGAATTCTCTCCTAGTCATTTTTGGCGAAATTTGGCCAACGACCCTGTACTATAGTACTTTTGCAAAATTTTTGAGTAACTATAAAAATTTGTAAAAAATCTAATTTTTAATTCAAATCAGCTCAAACTTGCTACACAACATAAAAACATGTATATGTATCAGATATTGTAATAAAAATTGAGAATTCTCTCCTAGTCATTTTTGGAAAAATTTGGACAACTGGCTCAATTTTTGAGTAACTTTTTTAGATTTGCAAAAAAATAATCATAATTTTGATTGGAATCAGTTAAAATTTGAAACACAACATAAGAAAATGTATGTGTATTGGTAAAATTGGTCTGGCCACAATCCTAATTGCATGCTTTTTATAAAAACAATAGCAGCGTAAAATGCAGCTGCTACACAAATGCAATTAGAAATACACAACTAAATACAATCTTAATGTGTGTTGCCCTAGCCCTCACTACACGACTTTTGTCTTCCTACAAACAAAATATATTTGAAGACAAGTAGTCGTGAGATCACTAGACCACACTAGCACTATAATTCATTGTATTAAGAGTCACTACCTAAAGGAATGCTATTATGCTGTGCGTAAACAAACAAAATATACTTATAGCATTAGTATAATCTCACCGTTCGACACAATAAAGGCAGATCATGATACACCGTAGCTCCTTGAGGATTGAATTGGACCGACTGGTTAACGAATGATGCAATGACTGGATTAGCAGGAAAATAAACCCCTTTTAATATCCTGTTTTTGACTACTATAGTCATCCTGTCCTGTTGCCCTAGCCTTGTCACATTGTTCCCAATCAATTGAGCATAAAATGTCTCATCATTCTGCAAGGCCTCATAATGTACTGGTATTGTCACAGTCACCCTCTCCACTCCAGCAGCAAAAGTGATCCTTTTCTTTGAAGAGTTGTAACTTTTTGTACTCTCATGACTCATAGTCGCATTCTCAAATGTATAATAATCGATGGATGCTTCCACATTTAGCCCTTTCTTTCTATTGACCAATAGCTGAACTTCTGTATGGTCTACTTCAAAGTTAGAGACTGGCTCAGTAACATTCACAATCACATCTTCAAACTCTACAACTGAAGCTAGAGGAGAAGGAGAGAGAGAGAGAATTAAAATATCTTTAATAATTAGACACGATCGTGCAGACTGGCTCTCAGACATAATCAACAAGAGACAAACACAAATTAAAGTTGTGGCTATGTAATGCGGTTTATGCTAAAGTGCTTCATACAAAATGAAGTAAACAATCTTTATCTCTCTCTCCCTCACCATCTTCCGGATCATTAATAATAATGATAGCTTCATCAGTCTTAACTCTTGAATCATTAGTTGATAGTAAAATACGGAGTGTCTCGCTGCCTTCTCTAAGGTCATCATCATTCAGGAAAAGATTACACACTATATGAGAGAAATTTAAGCAATAAATATTATGACAATATTTCAGAAGGAGAACAAAGGGAAAGACCGACCTTTCTTTGTCTCGTTAATTTGAAAAGTGAGTGTTAGTGGTGTATTGAAATAATCCTGATCACCAGCTGTGATCGAACTCATTGTGCATTTAACAGTTGTGGGCGTGGAGAGGTTACCATGACGATAGACGGGTATTTCAGTAATAATATTCGTCTCATTAACTCGATAAGTTTTGGAGGAAAAGTTGACAAACACGTCTAGAGGAAGAGAAATTTAATAAAAATGTTAATATTATATTTATCTCTTTATATACATGCACATGTACACATAGTGTAATGCAGAATTAATACTTAGTTTATTTGTTTTTGGCGTGTGCCTGTGTGTGTGTTTGTGGCTGAATATGAAATTAATTCAATTAGTTGAGAATTTCGTTACAACTATGGGATACAATCTCAGACATACCGTAGTACAATAAGATAACAAACAAAAGAAAATGAGAGAGAGAGAGAAAAAGAGAGAGGACCTAACCTTTAACAGTATCCTGTATAACAATTTTCAGTATCCCATTTCCTGATACAGCTCCATTGTATGATGGAAATATCTTAATATAAAAAACTTCGTCACTCTCTGTCTTGTTATCTTGAAGTATTTTAACATAACCCTTGGCTTCACTCTGTCCCTTTAAAAACTTTATGACATTCAATGATCTGTTAAAAATATAGTCTTCATTTTTGGTAGCATTTCCAGGGCGCACTCGTAAGTCAACAATAGTTTCACTGGATAGATCTTCAGTCCTGACAATGGAGAAACTCAAGTTACCAGCAAAATTCTCTCGGACGAAAATTATGCTGTTTTTGAAAGAAACCTTTGGAGCTAAAAATGACACATAAATATGATTAAGCATCATCTTAAAATTACATTTCGTGCAATGTTATTCTTATTGATGTACACAGAGCAGATGTTCACAGCTTTTCTTAAAACAAAATATTCAAGTTAGGCAATAAAAATTTAAAATGCCAATGAATCTAATTAAACCTGTTGTACATGTAGACATGAAGACGATAGATTAACAATAACAGTAAACTACGGTATACTACAGGTATACTAAACATATAGACATGTAAATAACTACATTAGCTTACCATCATTTTCATCATGCTTAATAGAAATGCATACTCTACTGCTTCCATTGTTCACAAAACTATTCTCTGTCACTAATCCCTTAAGCTCAACATAAAATATCTCTAATCGCTCATTCTCATCATCATCAATAATCGTAATGGTACAATTAGCCTGGGTCTCTCCTCTATTGAATGTGACAGCAGAACTAATGTTGTTTGGTCTACCAACATAATCAGCATATTCAGTGCTGTACTCTGGAACAGTGTGACATATGACCCTGTTCCTTTGTAGAGTGTTCTTAGTCCTGAGGATGCTTATATTAAATGACCCTACACTCTCAGTGACTTCCAGAGAGAAGGAGCAAAGTGAAGGTGATTGTGGTAAGATGTATTGACTGTTATTAGAGAAGGCAAAGAGTGGATCTAAAAATAAAATTAAAACAAGAAATGGTTAATATTAAAAGTACTAGATAATTGAGATTAATGGGAGCTAGGCGATCCAATACATGTTTCACAAACTTACAATCATCAATATAGTCAGTTATGTATACATTGATTTCTGAGTGCTTTGGTATGATACAAACATCAGAATCACGGAGGCCCATTACAAACAGTTCATTTCCTTCTGCATTGGAATCATTGATAATGCTAACATAGCCAACGGCTTTCCTTGAATGAGAAGTGAAGGTCAGTCTCTTGTTTATGGGATGGTAGTCTATTCCAGGAGTAGCAGAATCGTCAGCAACGCCTTCCAGCGTAGTGACATTGACATGAACTGGACTGAGGAGATTATTCCCACCAATATATCTACAAGAAAAAAAGAGATAATAAATATAATGATATTAAAAAATAGAATAGTAATAAAATAATAGCTCGTGTTACATAATCTAGTATGCAGGAGTGGGCGTAAAGGGTGTGAGTGCATTGGCACATTAATTATCATTAAATTCGTCTACTACAAAGTTGACATTATTAATCAAATATCTTGTTAGCGTGCGTGTGCGCCAGTACAACGACAAGGCAGAGGAGGGTCCAGGGCTATGCAATTAATCATACATTTTAGGGAAGAGCCAGAAAGGAGAGGAATTTTGCAGCTGTGCACTCTATCGAAGCAAGCAAGTATCTACTCATTTGTAACAGACATACTTTATTGCCACTCCTCTCACTTCTACACGCTGTCATTCCAATTTAGCTTACACACGGCTAATCTCTCCCTCTCTCTCTCTCTTTCAATTCACTCCTTCTGTCTCAGCCTCTAATTATAACAAAGCCACAGAATTAGGTGTACATCTGCTATTCTCATGCATTTCAACTGTCAATTCTCTTTTATTTTATTTCTGTTAATCTCTCTCTCTCTCTTCTTCTCTCTCTCTTTTCTCTCTCTCTCATTTTTACTTACATTACATGATACTCATAATCAGCAGTTTCATCTACTCTCCCTCTTCCACTTAAATTAAAGTAGCACCAATCAATCTTTACAGTAATGTTACTCTCCACATGTCCTGGATTGGTCTGATTACCATAGCTAATTCTTACTATCAGCTCAAATGAGTCCGAAGTGACTGAGAAATCAGAGTGAGAGAGGGTCGAGACATATGATATTTCATTCTCGTAAACATCGGACAGAGTAAAGTAAGGTATCTGAGAATCACCTCTTTGGATGTGCCCGAATCTTGGAGGTGAGCTTGATTTGAGATAAAGCGATATTTCGGATGGTAAGAAATCAGAATCCTCTGTTAAATAAATGTCTTCTTTAGTAAACGTGACACTATAGCGATCATCAGTAGCAGTACTCATCATTATTGATGGACTCACAGTAAGATTGAGTCTCAATTCGCTAAGTGTCTCTTGTATTAGAATGATGAGAAAGACTGATGAAGGACTGCTACGTCTTGGTCTCCCTGATTTGCTGTCAGTAACACCTTGAGGATCTTCAAGAACAGTAGAGAACGTATCAGTCGTGTTACGATAGAATATAATACTTGGTAATACGCGATAAGTAATACGTCCTTCTAGTATGTCTTGACCAGTGAAACTGCTGTTGATATTTAATTCTTTCAATACATTGACCACAGGGTCTAGGTACCTTAAGAGACCGTAACTTGGGAGTGACGTCACTTTGAACTTGATAAAGGAGAGGCAGAAAGGTGATTGGAGCTGAAAGTCATTTTCTGATAATTTAAATTCTTTTTCTAACTCAAGAGAACGATCATTCGTAGTAATACTAAGCACATCTCCAGTACTTGCTTTAATAGCAATGCTTATGTTAGTAATAATGCTAAATCTATCAGTTAATCTTGTTACTTGCAGTGTCAGTATATCACTGCAGTGCTCTTCAAGAGGACTGTGTTCGTATGTAACACTTCTTGTTGTCAGATCTTCCCATAAGAACTCTTCCGGAGTATCTGGAGTGTGTAATATGCCATGGCGAGGGCCAGAAATAAGTCTGAAATGGAGTCTATTGGTTCCCATGTACCACTGAATGTGTCGGAAATATTTACGAGTGAGGGCCTTTTCTCTCTCGTTACTTATCCAAAACTGTCTGTACGGGATCAACAGAGACTCTTCCTCTACTGACACAAACTGAAATCTGATTTCTTGAGGTAATTTCTCTCTCCCTTCAAAATAAAATAACTGAAAATAAAACGAGTCATTTACCGGTTGCATCGTCGAGGACTTTGGCTTGTAATAAATTCTATTTGCAGTTAAGTCAGCTTGTGTGAATGACCTTACTGAAGCAGTACAGTCTGTATTATCCAGCAAGCAGAGAATGCCATAACGGGGCTGTGAACTGATGTGATACACAATTTCTTTCTCCAAATAACCAGTTGACGATATGCGTAGATAGTCAGCTGTGATGTAAACAGGTTGAAGAGATGAGAGAGGTAAAGGTATGTTCCTTTGAACAAAAGGAGCAGAAGGAAAGTGTGAGGGTGAGCTAAGACTAGCATTAGGTAGTTCTTTAGTAGCAATGAAATTAAAGTGAGGAAGTACCTTTACACGTAAAAGCACTGAGTAATTGTATTCGATGCTGCTTAGTATGTACTCCATTACTACCACTGATGTTATATTGTGTGACATATACCACAAGGAATCATTACCACGATCATGTTTATTTGTATTACCAAGACAGGACTGTGATCGACTGAGAGTATAGTAAGGATAAGAGCCAGTCAAACAATGAGAGGATGGGGCAACTATAAAGTCTCCAGGATCAACCGGCTGTTGCTTTAATGGTGTTATGGTCACGGGCCCAGTTGGGAGACTACACTTACTCAAATGTAAAGGTGTCACACATTGAGATAAAGTCACAACAGTGCAGTGAGTGGTAGTGGGTGAAGAGGTTATTCTTATTGGTATTAATACATCGAGTGGTGGCGTCCCTTTAGTCCCGTCCTGCTTCTTAACCATGTCACATTCTAAGCTCCAATGGGTAGCATCGGATGCATAATGACTCACATTGTTGTTGTCTTGTACGTAAAGGATATTCAAATTGTTCTCTTCGACTTGGAAAGTGTCGTTGATGCCCAATGGTGCATCTTTCCCACTAACATAAACACTCCCAAGCCTTGGTAGGGCCACTATTCTCACGGTATAGTTAGTACAGAGATGAGGTGGGTACAAATTGAGCTCATTAGATGTTAAAAGAGCCTTTCCATATCTCTCTACGGATATACCAATATTCTTACGAATGCTTGGATCCTTTCCTTTCATCGGAGACAGCTTAACATATAAGGCTCCACTTGCTAGTGGTCTACCAATGAAGTCCAATAAGTTGTAGTGAAACATGGTAACCGTGGAGACATGCGTGGCTATTGATCTCTCAGTAGGCTTAAAGACTACTCTGTTCCTCAACAACTCATTCATCGTGAAGGTGGTGGCTGTGTTAGGGTTTTGAGGTGGCAAGAGATAAGGGTAAAACCCACCTGTGTATTCTACAGGGAACAAGAGCTTTAAACCACTGCTGTTAGTATATCCTTGAAACTCTTGCAAATCAATTGGTAAAGTTTCCGGTGACAGTAGAGTTTCGCTGAGCTCATTAATATTCATATGAGAGTCCTTCAAGTGTATTACATCATCTTCGGTCGGGTATGTAGATTTGTTAAGAGCGTCATTCAGTGTTAGAGGTACAACGTAATATGTAGAGTCTTCTGTGAAACAGTTAGTGTGAACAAAGAGTGACGTAATTACGGATGAAAGACGGCGAGAAGAATAGGTAAAAGGTGTAGTGGGGGAATAGCCACAAGGAATAGGCAAAGACAATGAGCCATTGACACGAATCTCGGAACCACTAATCCCTTTGTAAGATGGTAAATGATCCATAACTGTGTACGAGCACTTGTTGGTGAAAAAAGTCGGAAACAAAAAATTAATCATAACATTGTCTTTGTCGTCCTTTACCGTTTGAATTTTTAAAGACACGTTTCGATTGGGTAGGATACGCAGGGGAAGACTAAGGTGTTCTATAGCAATGACAGCAGTGTTGTTAATGATCATTCTTGCATCAACTTGGAAATGTAAGGTTTCGTAGTGATTAAAGCAGCCATGATGCTGGTAGTTGTAGAAGAGATTGGGAGTCCCTTGATCCCAGCATGGAAGAGTTGTAGGAGAAATATGACCACAATTTTCATTACAACTAGTGTATACCATATTGCAGGTTATAATAGCGTTAGAATGATGGCCTGAGGGAACTATGGAATAGTGATCACTGGTGATAGCTACATTCTTGCCCCGTATAACGTGAAGTGTCTTCTTTGCTGAGACGTTGAGTCGAAAGGAGTTTTGTTGTAGCTGCGAGCCGGCGCAGCAGAAGTCGTCCAGTAATATTACAAGCAGTAGGAGTATAAATCGGGTCATGGCAGTGAAGTCTGTGTTAACATACGTCGTATTATTTCTCTTTTCTGCACTACGGGAGGGACCAGCTCATTGCAGCGATATAAGGTCCTTGCAGAGAGAGGAAAAGGAGAGGAAGACAAAGTATTGTAAAATTAGAGACTGCTTTGATATTCCGGGATATTTCTACGATCCGATATCAGAGCTACGGTTGGGCGTGTATCTGTTAACAAGCATTGGTATGCAAATATCCTAATACTGACTCAGTATCAATGGTACAAGAGCATAGTTATCATTTTAACAATAAATATGCATTCTTTCTAAGACTGATTTGATTATTTTAAAAAATAATTCACAGACACACAGAGAAACAGGAAAAGAGACGGGGTCTGATCATCTCCAGTATGATTACTTGCTAGAGTAGCTTTAGGGAAGATTAATTGTTAAAATTTCTCCATTTGGCGAACCAAAGTAGACACAAGAAGTCATGCCAACAAATAAACCAGTCTCGACAACACCTTATATAAAAAAAAAAATAATAATAATAATAAATAAATAAATAAATAAATAGAAGGGATAGAGCTCTTACCAGGGATAGCTTTTAATAGTCCATTTACCTGAGACCAATCCTTGTCCTAAAAAAGTTATAATAATAATTGCATTTAAAAGCCTCATTGTGTGGCAGTCGGAGTCACTCACCCGTGCTGCATCAAATTTCCAGTCTAGAATCAGGTTCCCGTTATCTGTTACAACAGGGCCCTAATCACACGATCAAATAAATAAACTAAAAATTCATTAACATTCGGGCATCTCCCCCTCTCTCTCTAGTCTTGTGTAGCAAGACCATCCCCAGCCTATAGTCCACCCAAATGACTGTAGGCTGGGGAATGAATGGTTTGGCTGTGCAAGACTACCCTCTCTCTATCTCTCTCTCTCCATCCATCCTTCTCTCATTCTCACGGCTTTCTTCTGAGCTATTCTTAAATCAGCAGTCCCTTCCAAAGAGCTCTCTATCTTAGCCTTCACAACTTTGTGTGCAATTTGAAGCACTTCTATCGGCAGGCCAGTCTTCCACTATTAGTATTAGCAATTAATAAGTATCACTGAAAACATACCTTTTCTCCAAGATACTCTGATTTCTTACTAATTAAAGAATTTACTTCGAAAGTAATAATAAAGAGCTTTTATACCTGTCATCGGCAATCACAATAAACTTTTTAGCGGCAAAGGCTACAATCTTCTCTTGAGTTTGACAGCCGCTGTGTGTGAGGAAGAGAGAGAAAAGAGAAGATTGTGTATAACCAAATAATATAACCACAGTAGTATATCTCACCCTCCTCCTTTGATGAGGTTCAGGTCCTTGTCAACCTCATCAGCTCCATCAATGGCTATGTCTAACTAAATAAGGATAATTGACAATTTGTATGCCTTCCCTAATCATAGCCCACATGCAATAAAGCACACTCACTACGTGGTCAGTCTCTAAGTTGCTTAGTACCAATCCATTGCTAATGATCAGTTCCTTCGCCTATAAAAATATTATAATGCATAGAGACCGTTTACCAGATTTTTTAGATCTATTAATACACATGCATGTTCTTATGCTGTGTTTCAAATTTGAGCTCATTCCAATCAAAATTCAAATCTTTAACATTACTTAAAAATCGAGCCAAAGTCCCTGTACTATAGTACAGGGTCATTGGCCAAATTTTACCAAAAATGATTAGGAGAGAATTTTCAATTTTTATTACATTTTCTGATACACATACATGTTCTTATGCTGTGTTTTGAATTTGAGCTCATTCCAATCAAAATTGGATTTTTTACGAATTTTTAAAGTTACTCAAAAATCGGGCCAAAGTCCCTGTACTATAGTACAGGGTCGTTGGCCAAATTTTGCCAAAAATGATTAGGAGAGAATTTTCAATTTTTATTACATTTTCTGATACACATACATGTACTTATGTTGTGTAGAAATTTTGAGCTCATTCCAATCAAAATTGGATTTTTTTACAAATTTTTAAAGTTATTCAAAAATCGGGCCAAAGTCCCTGTACTATAGTACAGGGTCGTTGCCCAAATTTCGCCAAAAATGACTAGGAGAGAATTCTCAATTTTTATTACATTTTCTGATGCACAAACATGTTCTTATGTTGTGTAGAAAGTTTGAGCTCATTCCGATCAAAATCGGATTTTTTATAAATTTTTAAAGTTGCTAAAAAATCTGGCCCAAAGACTATGTATAGACTATGGTGTATTTCATCAATAAAGCATTAAAACATTATTGTACAGCTAAAGTCCATATGTTCAATATGTTCAATATAGTTTGTAATTTGCATATGTTAATTACTTGAAAAGAGGTTGGGACACATCGAACACTTAGCTTCTCATTTTTAACCCTCTCAGCTAATAAAATAATTAATAGATAATGATTTTTAATAATATTAATTAATTACCTAGTCTTTCAACAGCAAACACTATAGTCGAGCCGCTTCCAATTCCAATACGATCACCATCCTATTAGTTAATAAACTATTAAACACTTTACAAGATGCATTACATGCCTTTATATGATCATCTATTGCTTTGAAAGCTGCAGCCCTTTTTCCTTTTGCTACACTTGCCATTGCTTCACTTAGACTGAAGGCTCTAGTAGCTGTTGAAGGAGCAGGAGTGGCCCTGAGAGATGAGCTCCAGGATGATGATGATGATGGAAGAGGAAGACGACAAATGGTTAACACTAATCTTCCATACATCCGTTATAATAATGAGACAACGCCCAAAATCCCGGGTAACCTTAATGCGCATGCGCAGTAGGATTCACTGCACACGTGGAGGCACGTGGGCCCTTTTAATTTTTAAAAGGGCGTGACAACATACCTCCTTGACCACACCCTTCACTCTTATGATCATTTTATCAGCTCAACAACTTGTTCGAAAGCTGTCTTCTCTTCTACTATTACCTAACACTGCCCCTTTAAAGTAAAGAGAGGAGGATGGGAGTGGAGACGAGCCGGGTCGTCAGCCCCGAGGAAGACACCATTGATGCATACATTGATAGAGACGGAGGCTATCTCGTCAACAGGCACAGAAAGACAGCCACCATGACTACAGTGGATATTGGTCTTAGTCAAGAGAAAGAGGACTATAACGTGAGATATTAGAGCTACTAATGTGTGTGTGGATTTAATGTGTGTCTGTTTGATATTTTTCACTTTGTTCAAAATGTACAGTACTTTGACTATACCTCTATGATATGTAGCTATTTTGTGTGGGTGAGGCATTAGGTACTTTTTACATGTCATTTCGTGCTGTTTTACTACATGTGTGGTTACACGTAACTATTACAAATTACATGTAATTTCTTGCATTTAATTATTATTTGGCAACGCTGCATCTTTATATCGTAATAAAGATAGTAAAATAGATTAAATTGTTATTCTTTCAATTTGACTGAATGCCATTAGCATTACACAAACAATGCATCCTACAGGGAATGATCCATGTTTTCAGTTTCAACTCTCATTATTTATTTTGTGCAATGCTCCCCTTTCATTTGTAGGAGAACCGTCCCCCTGATCCTAACTCATTCTGCAACTTCCAAGAAACGACTTTACTTCAATTTCAATCCCTTATTGTCTCCTCACGCAATGATCAGCAACTAGCATTAACTCTAGAAAAGAAACTAAAATTAAATTCGTCTTTTGTCGAGGGAGCACTTAGAAGAGCAGTCGTATCAAGGAAACTAGATCTAATGACTCATGCTCTTGAAGTTAATAGGCTAATTCCACAGGATTCTCTCTTTAAAGTTAGCGATGGGTTCTTGCTCCAGCTAATACACAGAACCGTCTCGTTGAAAGAGATTGAGCTACTACGCTCTCTTCTCTCTTATATCTCTTTGTCACTCGAAACAAAGAGAGAGCTTCAGAATATTGCGATACTGGCTGCCCAGTGTGACTTCCTTGATGCAGTTCAACTTTTATGCTCGAAATTCCCATCCTGCCTTGAGCAAACATTTCAGGGGCACTCCCTTCTAATTACCATGGCATCGCAGAGAGCTGATTCTTCTGTTCAGTTTATGTCGTATCTCCTCGAAAACGGAGTCGACGTGAACACTCAAGAGCCAAGCGGTGACACAGCACTCCATGTTGCTATAAGAGAGAATAACATTGAGGGGATCAAGGTGCTATTGGAGCAGAATGTTTGCTTGTATTTGAAGAACTCTCAAGGATTAACGCCATTGGAACTAGCACAAGGACAAGTGAATGCTTTACTAAGCAGCTGCTCTTCTCCACAACCTCATGAAGTATCGTTATATGCTGCTGCTAAAGAAGGAAAGAGAGAGTCTGTCCAGCAGCTACTCAACAGTGGTGTTAGCATCAATTCTAAATGGGTCAATGGTCATACTGCTTTATGTGCTGCTTCTATGAATGGCGATGCTGATTTGACACATTTTTTGCTTGCTCAGGGTGCCGCCATATTCCCTCCTGGTAATACATGGCCCGAGCTACCTGTTGTACATGCACTGACAAATAATCATACAGACATTGCATGCCTTCTCATTGAAAGTGTAGCAAATGAATATGAAAAGCTAAACAAGAAAGAGAAAGAACATATTCACACTCAGCTGGTCTCTCTTCTCCATTATTCTGCTAGGATTAACGCAGTGGCCATAGCAACCCTCATTTTACGTTCTAAATTTCACATTGATCTCAATTCGTCTTTTATATCTGGTCTTTCGCCACTACACGAGGCTTGTCGCTGTGGCCATCTTGACATGGTAAAGTTGTTATTGTTGTATGGGGTTGAGGCTAACCTCTTAAGCAACTTTTATCTCAACAGTCCCTTGCATTATGCTTCTTTTTATGGGCACACCCATGTTGCCGCCTACCTTTTAAAATACCCCGAAGTTGACATAGATATTGAAAACAAACAGCACGAAAGCCCCCTCTATTGTGTTCTGCATGGTCAATTGACAGCCGAAGAGAAGAGCTACCCCAAGGAGTCCTCGATTATATTTTTATTGCTTCGCGGAGCTAAGCTTCTTAAGCCTGGACGCAAAAACTGTGAGTTGTCTCAGTTTGATCTTTTATACGCTCAGCAGCGCTGGGACTTTATTCCGCTACAAACTCAGAAACTCATTATTGTCGTTAGAAATGAGATCAGACCTCACTCATTGATGAATGCTGCAAGGTTTTGCATTAGGTCTTCATTAAACGTCCCAGTTAATGATGATATACTGGATAAAATAGGACTGCCTTATAGGATGAGGAACTATGTACTACTGAAAGACTGGTTCCCCAATGATTATTGATACACGTATTTTTGTAAATTTTGTTTGAATTTTAAAATTTTTTTCTTGACTATCACGCACAATTAAGAGATTATAATTATCGTTTTTTGTTTGTTTTGATTTTTTAAAATGGATCATAAATATAATTATAATTTTAAAAATAATGGTCACAATTTTGATTTCATGGGCAATAAATTATATTTGTTATGAGGAAGTCTCAAAATTGGTACAAGATTTCCCTTCCTCTCATCATGAACCTCTTCTCTCTCAACTGGAGCACAAACTTGTAATGCTAAAGGCCAGTGTGGTGGCTCATTAAAAGCAACCATTGCTGTCACAATACATAACCTTGCAGTTAAACCCATAACTTGATACAACTTCCCTTCTCTTGATTTGTAACTAAAACGATCCAAACTCAAACGCGAGTCACCACCAAATAATGCACCAGATTTTATCTGTTGGTGATGTGGCCCTGAACTTATAAAACTCCTCAGTGGCATCCAAAAATAATCGGAGACTTCATCTTCATTTGGAATTAACTGGAGCTCATTTCTCTTCCCTGCCAGTGTTGCCATCACAGCATAACAGGGGAAGACTTGACTCTTAATGGTGTTTACGACCATGAAAGGTGGAATGAGACCAATCACATTGACCTGATCCTGTTTTAGATTAATCTCTTCATCTGCTTCCCTTAATGCAGTAGCAATCAGTGAGCCACCATCACTCTCATCCTCCATACCTCCAGGGAGACATACCTGACCTAAATATGCACAATAATATATTTTGCAAGCAAAAATAGTTTTTAAAATCAAAAATACAGAATAACTTTAATTTGTGCAAGAGTGGAGCTAAAAAAATCTTTAAAACTAAGAATACCCCTACCAAATTTCTTATGCATGCCTCTATGAATCTTTGCATTATATACAAGTTATCATTATTATTTATTGTCTACCTTTAAAAGAAACTGTGGTTGATCTTACAGTCAGCAATACACTCAACTCCCCATCTTCTTCTTCCCTTATGCAAGCCAGGACACAGGACCTCCTTTTAAAAAAATACTTCTTCAATAGAGGTGCGGAAAGATGCTCCTTGGATACAAGTGGAAACAAGTCTGCATGTGAATACCATCCTCCTTTCTCGTGTAAATCATAGGCAGCCTTTACTCTCCTGTACAGTTCGGACGCCATCTTTATTTTCTGCATAAAGGCGTGGCTAGTTATTAGTATATCAACTAGCCACACCCACAGCAATATGGCGTATTTGCAATTTTCTATTTATTCGCATAGTCAAATGGCGCTAAGATAAACTCTAGTGTATCGTTCCATTCTACACCAAAACAGAAGAGAAGAGAAAGCCTCAGCAATCAACATGCTTCCACCGCCAGATCCCTCATCACTGCTGAACGACATTGAGGAGTACGCCTTCCTCATTCTACGATTCATGTTTTCATTCTGGTCACTATTAATCTCTTACAACATGATATCTGCTTTTACCAATCTTTGCTTATTCAGAAGGATCTACATAGGACTACTCAGAAGAATGTACAGGGTGAGATATTTGGCTTTGATTAGAACAATCGTCTATTGTTTTGTAGTTGTTTGGCTTTAAGGCGAAACGCTCTGTCGTTAAAAATAAAACCGTCCGTTTTCAAGACGACATAATTGATAATGGAGGTAAGGGATTTTAAAATTATTAAGAGTATTATTTCCTGTTTTTGAAAGGTGTTGGGAGTACTTTGACAAGGAGAAGATCAAACAAATCTTTTAAAGGCGAATTCCAAATTGGTGACATTGTTGATTATGTTCACGATGGGATAGAGGTAACTCCAGATGGAGTAGTAGCAATAATTCATTGTTTGTGTGTTATAGGTAATTATTGAGGATGAGGTAACCAAATGCTTTTCAACTGAAGGTATAAAATTGCACTGTACATGTGCATTATATTTTAAAGGCTTTGTGCATGTACTTGACATTTTTGGCCTTAGATGTTAGCGTTGTGTTTTCCTTATTTTTTCCTCTTTCCTTGTCTTGTTACATTCTTTTTGTCCTTCCTTCTATTGTTATGTAATTTGTCTCTCTCTGTCTGTCTCTCTATCTCTGTCTCTCTGTCTCTGTCTCTGTCTCTGTCTGTCTGTCTCTCTCTCTGTCTCTGTCTGTCTGTCTCTCTCTCTGTCTCTTCCCCTCTTTGTCTCTCTTTTCCCCTCTCTCTCTCACTTCAGATGTGGAAGAGTGGAATCTTATGAGTAGAACAAGATTCAAAGAGAATTTAGGGTACACTATGCATGTACTTGTACCTGTACACACGACGAAATGAATGTACTTATACAATCATGGATGCATTACCCAAAACCCATACTGCTAGCATGCAGTTTAGTACATAGGAACTAAATCTGTATTGATGCTAGACACCAAATCCTATCCTGATGATGGATTCATGGTCGTGTAATAACGATGTTATATTAATTTATTTTATATACATGGATTCGTTCACAATGACGTTTAGTTGTTGTGGGTGACTGTATAATTACATAATATTTATTATTTTACCACCTTTCTGACCTGCAGTCTTACATAAGTCGTTATGTCATTCTCCATGATAATGTGGGAAATATTTTACCTCAACACCTGCTGGTGTTGATAAGTTTCACTTTTGAAAAATGCATCCCCCTGTCTATTTTTAAAAAAACATATTCCTCGTTTCTCCCTTTCTCTCTCCCTCCCTCCCTCTCTCTCTCTCTTTCTCGTTATCACTATCCAATGATTTGTTGAGTGTTAGTGTTCTTGTTTCAAACCAGTTTGTATAGTCCAGCTGCTCCTGAACAGCTTATTGTGGTCTGGTACAACAATCGTTCAGTGTTTTACAATTAATGAACTAACTAATTAATTAATAGTAATCAATTGAGTGGGTGGCATGCATGAATAATTTTAATTAATTAAATAATGAATTGCCACACATGGCAAACTTGATTTCCAATTGGTGCATGTAAACAATATACTTGTAAATAAATTAAACAGAAATGAAATGTTCCCTGAAATTTTATTAGCTATAATTTGATTGATTGATCAAATATTAAAATTGTTTTATCTTGAAATGTTCCCCAAGATTACTGTGCAAGGATGCAGTGCATATGTACATGTATACATGAACTTAATAATAATAATAATAATAATAATATTTATAAAGAAACCCTAAGTCACATGTCACTGGTTTGTTCCCCTTGCCTCAGATGTGTCTTTAATCACTTGTGCTCATTTTGACAGCTGCTTCTCTCCCTCGTCTCATTATGGTACGAAGGACCAGCTGGGGAAGATAATTGTGTGGTCGTATTATAAGGGGAATAGGGACAATGATGTAATCACGTGGTTTGTTTGTGTACATCCAGAACCCTCTTGCCTTGAACCTGGATTTACACTCCAGGACTGGTGGAGTATTTTATACCTTACTTCTTTGTGTTTAAATCATTAATATTTATTAAAACCATTAAGTGATTTATTGTGAATGTAAGAATTAATAGAAAAACTTGTTTGTACTCCATGAATTACTTTAGCTCTTCCATTGGTTAATAAGCTGCAAGCGCTCCCAGTATAAATCAGATTTGATTAAAATTTGCTGCATCGTATATTATATGGGGTGGAGCTAATGGGTGTGGCTAATGAAAAATGGGATTTATTAATTTTTATGTGGTGTCTTATTTTTATTAATTTTGTGAAATAAACAGAATGCACATACACTGTGCATTCATTGCTTTACTTATGTATGGTAGTCCATTTTCCTGTTCCACCAAAAGAGTAAGTATATACGCTTTCTCTTAAAATATCATCAAACAGTTCTACTTCCTTTGATTCCATTATCCTTGTACTTTCAAAGGAAAAGCCTGTTCCTCTCATATGGCCCAAATGTCACTTTCTCAGAATTCCTCTCCATTTTACACACAGTACGACATGTTTTATTTCAAAAATATTCGATTTTCAGAAATAATAATCGTATTTCTAGATTTTTAAAAAATTATCTTCCCCCCCCAGGTTAAAGATGGAGTTACTCTTAATTTTGTCCGTCATATTCAGGTTTACCATATTCCTTCTCATCAGGTAAGACATGCAGTAGTATGTATGATATAATCTCCTTCTTGATGTACATGTAATATATATACATTCTTATTTCTTCTTTTCTCTCTTGCACAGACTTCCAATAGGCATAGCTAGTCTATTGTGGCTCATAATTACTATGGTAGTTCTCTCTATTATTAGATTCCTCTTCCCCCACTCACGGTAAATATAAATTAAATATGTATGCTATTGGGCCCACACTACCTCTCCTTAATACATATACAGTGTAGCATCTTCATTAAGGACATCATTGGGCCCACACTACCTGTCCTTAATACATGTACAGTGTAGCTTCTTTATTAAGGACACCATTGGGCCCACACTACCTGTCCTTAATACATGTACAGTGTAGCTTCTTTATTAAGGACACCATTCGGCCCACACTACCTCTCCTTAGTACATTAGAGGTACATGTATATAGTACTTTTGTACCAATGACACATTAATGTCCTCACTATAAAGGCCTTCTTATCTCAGTGTGTCAGTCCCTCTATTAAGGTGTCTTGTTCCCAATGCACTGTCAAGCTTTCAAGTCTATGTACATATCATCCATTACTTTTATTGTTATACTTTTCAAGAATTATACCATAAAAGAAATTAAAGAAATTCGATCCGCCACAAAACTTGTCCTCAAACACTGCCTCTTCCTTTTGATGTAGCAAAGTAGAGCTCATATACAGTAGTACATGTAGAAATGCATGTACATGTACATTTATATACAGTAATGTTCATCTCTCTCTCTCTTTCTCTCTCTCTCTCCCTCTCTCTCTCCCTCTCTCTCTCTCTCTCCCTCTCTCTCTCCCTCTCTCTCTCCCTCTCTCTCTCTCTCTCTCTCTCTCTCTCTCTCTCTCCTAGTACTGTGAAACAAATAGAAAGATACTGTGTCATGGTATGCAGTAGACTCATAGCTGCTGCCTTTTCAGCTGTAGTGAATATACAACACGCGTAAGCAACACACTCAAATGATGTCAGAATCGATTCCCACATGTATTATACTACACATTGTGATGTACTTCCATTTTATACATTAGTTGTTCATGATATAAATTGTACGTGTCTTTATTTGCAGTTGCATTTTATACAGGTCTATCCTACAGTGTATTCTCTTATTGATGTGACGTACTTTTTGCATGTTTTTGTGGTTGAGAATGGAACTGTAAAAATTAGTTCCACCTTACACAGACCACTCATATTCTCATGATTACTCACTTGCTCCCTCATTTCACCATTATAGTCTATCTGTATAATGTATATATAATGATGTGTACATACTACAGGTGGCGGGTCACTCTTAGTCACAGCAGCTGCTATTGTTACTAGGAGAGTATGTGCCCATGAAATTGATCTATGATGATGTTTGTTGGGGTATTTTACTATTAGTGTGGAATCTAATTAGTTGATATGTTATTGACACTAATATAGATGGATTGTTCCACTCCATGTAGAAAGGTACTGCCAGTGATTTATGGAAAATTTAGTACAGTGTATTTCGTCAAAAATGGCTAGGAGAAAATTCTTTGATGATATATTTTTTCTGATACATATACATGTACTTATGTTGCGTTTCAATTTTGAGCTAATTTCAATTAAATTTAGATTTTTTATGAATTTTAAAAGTTACTCAAAAATTGGGCCAAAGTCCCTGTACTATAGTACAGGGTCGTTGGCCAAATTTTACCAAAAATGACTAGGAGAGAATTCTCAATTTATATTACATTTACTGATACACATACATGTTCTTATGTTGCATTTCAAGTTTGAGCTGATTCCGATCAAGATTGGATTTTTTACGAATTTTTTAAGTTCCTCAAAAATTGTTTCACGAAAATGGTGAAAGCCTATACATGTACATGACTACATGTATTTCATAATAATACCAAATTTCAGCCAATCATGCAATTCTTGCACCTGTGACATATTACTTGTATTACATTATGTGGTATATACATGTACATGTACATGTACATGTATGTTGCAAAAGTGCATGTTAAGTTCAGCTACACAAAAGCACCTTTTCTGTATCTTATAATGAGCTCACTTAGAGTCAGTATATGTACATGTAAATATTTACCTAGTTTAGTGCGTGTATTTAATGTACATGTACATATAATATTTCCCTGTGCATCTGTTTTGTACTCTCGGTTGTGACGTTTTTAACATTATGGAATGTCTCCTCACTAAAAGGTACAAATTGCCTACATGTATATGTACATATGCATCATAGAAATATTCATACATCATAGAAATATTCAAGTGTCCATGTATGCATTATGCATGCTTGAGTAATTGTGCAATCAATCTTACTACACTATATATTACTGACTTCTGACCATTTTCTTTTAAAGGTACATACTTTAGTTGTGCCCCCCTCCTCCTCCTTCTTTTACAAAGGCACCTGTACACTTAGGAATATTGCGTATGTACATGTACATGCCCATGGTTGTCTGTATGTGGTTGACTGATGGCTCATTAGTGTGTCTGTCTCTTCCTTCCTTCTTTCCTAAGTATCCTACTTCATTGCAAGCCCACTCTAATTGATTAACTTTCTAACCTTCTCTCTCTCTCTCTCTCTCTCTCTCTCTCCCTCCCTCCCTCCCTCCCTCCCTCTCTCTCTGGGTCCACATATGCTGAGTGTAGTATTTCACACGTATATACTATTTCACCTACTTCTCTCTAACATTATTCATGGTTGTTATGTGTGCCTCTAGAGTATGTGTATATCACTTGAGAGATGGTTTAGTGCCAACCCATACACCATGAGAGTAAGATACCTTTATCAGCTGCTAAAGGGAGTGTTACAAAGCTTTTATCAAAAGAGGTTGCTATCTTGTTCACATTGGAGTACTCTGGCCACTGACATGCAGTAATGAGTAATCAACCACTTAGCAACCCATTTGCTGTATATACTAATACTTAAGCTCTCTCTCTCTCTCTCTCTCCTTATCTCCAGTTAAGGGCCACTCTTGGCTGTGTACACCACTTGGTAATGTAATCTTTCTACAGTAACAGATAGGCCCACAACCTCTCTCTCTCTCTCTATCTCCTACTATTCAATGAAGCTAAATTGATCCTTTTGTATAATTACTGCTGAATATACATGTACATGTACATATACATGTACATGTACATGTACATGTATATGTACATGTATATGTACATGTATATAGATGTGAATGCTAATATATGTACATACACATATGTTAATACATGTACATAGATTGAAAACTGGTTGCTATACACATATGCATTTAATTCTATTAAAAAAGTGATTTTTAGGCATAACAGCCATTCATTGCACTCATAGTGTGCCTACACTCAATCACTCTTATCATTACTATTATCCACTTAAGACACTTGACAATATCTCATAACACTTAGTATCTAATATACTGTATAATGTGTATGTATATGTACATGTATGTATAATGTGGTTTTAGTAACACTTACTTATCCTGCCTACGCTGTGGCTCCAAACACCTACTTATATAACTCTTGCCTAGTCGTACCAAGGCCTATCTTAATGGCCCTATCATTCTAAATATTGATAATACACGTACATGTAAACAATTGCATGTATAGGCTCTCTCTCATCCATAGTTAGTTTTACTAAAACATTGAATGGGCACGCGTACGTCACTTATTCAGTGGTAGCTATACTAGCACGCACGCGCAATGAATAGCATGACAAAGGAGTAGTTTGTGCCAATAAATTATAATAAAATAAATATTATTGTGTACTCATGAGCATATTTTTGTTACATTTCCTTCACTTATACCATCTTGTAATAACAAAGCACTCTCTGACTGGCTCACTGTGTGGTCAGAGTCATCTCTCAGTTGCTACTAACTATGTTAGTGTGTCATATTGTCATTTTGTATATTTGTGTGTGTCCGTGTGTGTGTTGGTATAGTGAAAGTTATTGTTAAGGAGAAGCTGGCTATACTTTATCCAGCAGAATAAACTAACTTTGAAAATGATGGGAAGCAATGCAAAACAAAGTTAGACTCACTTTTGACAAACATAAAACACTAAAACAACACGGCTAGCAACAACATAACCGTCACGATTATTGTTTTGAGAGAGAAAGGAGAGAGAGAGAGAGATCTGCGAGAGAATGAATTACATTATTAATGTAACCTTGTTATCATTACTGTATCAGTCAGTACCGCTACTTTTATATTTCTCTTCCTGTCAACACTATCAATAAGAGATAGGTAGTTCCTTGCCCGCTCCCTTTTAACACTCATATTCATCTCTTGGGTATATGTAATGGAGTCAGTCTCTACTAATTGAAACCTTAAATAGCATACACTCTGTCTGTGTGGCTCATTAATGGTGTCCACAGCAACCAGTACACCCACTCATGAGGTCTCTTGAACCTCAAGAAGACACGACATAAAGGAAAAATAAAACCAACAATGTACAGTGAAGGATAACCTAACAGTGCATGCATGTACATGTACACCAGATACAATGTACATGTATCTCATTACATACAATGTACATGTATCTCATTCAAGTACGTGCAATGTAATCCAGACATGTCTCTTATGCCTGTCCTTTTATATGTACTATTCATTGATTGGGATTTAATGTGTAGTATAGTTTAATGTGGTAGACAATTTGCTAAAGGACTACACAGACTTTTATTCAATGCACATGGATGCTCATGTTTTAATGGCTTTTGCTTTTCATGTGTAGTACATCTACATGTATATGTACATGTATGTGCTATACACAATGTATAGCCTTAGAGCCCTTAATGGTCATAATGATAATGTGTACTCGTGTACAAGGATTGTCTCCATTGTTAAGATTATATTATCATACAAAAGAAGGTCAGAATAATGACCTCAACATAACAGAGCCCATAGACACATGTGTACTGTGTACATGTCATGCATTTATTGAGAATTAAAGTACAGTCTAAGGATAGATGGTGTCATAAGAGCCAGTGAATGGACTCCTATCAATTGTTGTTGAATTGGTGTCTCCAGTCATGTACTGGTTACATGTACATGTACATGGATCTTTAGTGTTAATTCATATGAAGAGACTTCATTGTGTTATATAGACAGTGTAGCATCAATAGATAATGATAATAATATATGTATCAATTGGACATAATTCACTGTTGTTTAATACACCACTAACTTGACAGTAATAGACTAACATCAGTACATTGTTTAATGATAATAATAATTGTTACTTTTATTTTTATTGCATTGGTCTGTGGAATTTGTGGTTCATTTATACCAGCCATATATGACTCCACTGTTCATTGTGATTTTACCACTCTGTGTGTGTGTATATATTAATTATTATTATTGTTTCTTTGGTGCAGGGAGAATCGTGCTAAACTGGGCAGTGTGTGTGTGGCTAATCACACCACTCCAGTAGACATCATCATGCTGGCAGTTGACAATTGTTTTACACTGGTAAGCTCTGATACATGTAGATGTATGTACATGTACTGTACTCACTTATCTTTATCTTAACATAAGTCTGCCTGCTCCTTCTCTCCCTCTTTTTCCCCTATCTCTCTCTCTATCCCTCCCTAACCATACCATAGATACCGTAAGTACATGTACAAAGTTTGTATCAATCAATACTGCCTGCCAGTACATAAAGGAAGCCACATTTAAATCTTTAAACAGCTGCTCCTATACTTATGGTGCTTCAGCCATACATACATACAGCTAGGCCTCTCTCCTCCTCTTCTTCCCCCCTTACTCTCTGTTGATATACCTTATCCCATAGCCTAAAGGACAAAGGCACTCCATAATACAATGTACATGTACCTGTCTCAGTTATAATAATGTGTTAATTGTTAAGTTCAATGTATATGTGTTGTTATACAGTGTGTACTCCAAATTTAATTGTGTCTTTTTGTATATGCACGTACATGTTCTCTCTCTCTCTCTCCCTCCCTCTCTCTCCCCTCT